TCAAAAACAAACAAAAAACAAAAACTCGTCAGTTAGTACTTGATGCGTTTGTTGTAAGCTTACGAATAATATTTATTTTCCAGAAATGTTTTCTCGTGTTGCAACTGACAAAATCTGTAAACTATAAAACACTGAATGTTTCAGATAAACCTTATTCAGTTAGGAAACTTGATTTGTGTAGTTTGTTGAGTACCACGGATCGTAGTTCTGAGTTTCCTCAACATTTGCCTGCTGATACTGCTATATATATATACATATATAATAATCTCCTCCAAACAAGAGTTCTTACCATTACACATTATTTCTTTCAGAACTGACAATCAGTCAACCCCAAGAAAGAAAGAACGCCAAAGTTCAGGTAGAGTAATGATTTATTTAAACTTATTTTAAATAGATATATATGTGTGTGTGTGTGTTTGTGTTTTGTGTCCTATTTATTGTTTGGCATTTAGCTCTTTTAATCTGGACTGAACCTTAGAACGACACATGGACTAGACTGCGAGGTCAAAGTTCAAGCACAGCCGCCACTGAATTTCTATTAATGACCAGACGTAGGGCAACGAACCAGCACTCAACACCATTCGCTAGCTACACGGCTGTTGTTAACCATATAGCGGGATCTAGTCCCTACCTGCTGAAAGTAAAGAACACGTTCAGCGACATATTGCGGGCTCGAACTTTAGACCTTCCGTTATGCGTCTTGTCATACTAAATAGCTAACGCTCTTCATTATTTATTCCGTTTCTTTTATACAATTAAAGTAAAGTTAAAATTACACAATCTTCACTTTCTAACTTATTACATGGATCAGTCCACTATTACTTGTACCCCAACTATTTTAATTCGTTGTTATTTGTACTTCATATGTTTTTATTTACCCCAACTGATGATGATGATGTCTATCTTTCTCACAAGGTTCGCTGTTATCTGTACCCCTTATGTTATATTTACCCCACTTGATAAAGCTATGAAAGTTCCTGATGATGAGGTGGTTCACTACTATCTGTACCCCTTATGTTATATTTACTGCACTTGATAAAGCTATGAAAGTTCCTGATGATGAGGCGGTTCACTACTATCTGTACCCCTTATGTTTTATTTACCCCACCTAATAAAGCTAAGAAAGTTCCTGATGATAAGGTGGTTCACTACTATCTGTACCCCTTATGTTTTATTTACCCCACTTGATAAAGTTAAAAAAGTTCCTGATGATAAGGTGGTTCACTACTATCTGTACCCCTTATGTTATATTTACCCCACTTGATAAAGCTGAGAAAGTTCCTGATGATAAGGTGGTTCACTACTATCTGTACCCCTTATGTTATATTTACCCCACTTGATAAAGCTAAGAAAGTTCCTGATGGGGGTGATCTTTCTTTTATTCTTCTATTGTTGTTATTATCTCATCGTTTGTCCATAACTTTTAGTAAAATAATGTTGTGTCTGTCGCCTTTTACTCTTCGTGTTACATATATTTCTTTATTTAATGAATAATGTAAAAGGAAAGAGGGAAATGTCACATCTTGAGTATGTGTTGTCTTTTCTACTTTAATGAGTATGACGTAATGAGTCAGAACAAATGTTGACATAATCGGCATATCATCCAGTAGAAAGGTTAGATTTGTTTTGTTACTTCACTTCGACCTCCATGCTGTATGAATGGGTTCATTGTATATAAAAAGCCCATAAAAAGCACTACAGGAAGGCAGCGTTACAATCCACACTTCCGCACATAATGTTACAGGGATTCGGTCAGCTGGATAAGTATGCATCTCTTAATGTAGAAGAAAAGATGATACATCGTACAGAAATTGTTTTTAGTCACTGCCATAGATGATGAATCATATAGGACATCAGTTCTTTTTATGTTATGGCTGAGGAAGAATTATTCTACATAAAATACATAAAAAAAAAACTGAGTAAGTGCTTAGAAAGTGTAAAATGTCTCAAGTGTTTATAATTATAAGAAATGCTTGTGGATGGCTTTGGTTTTGATGCTGAGACCTTCTTCGGTTCGAGCGCTATAGAAAGAGATTTGTCCAAAAACTGTCCACGGGGTAGTTCTTGTCCATACACACCTGCTTGATACGTGTCCATGTTTGTGTGTGTGTGTGATAAGGATGAAACATACAAATATATAGCCACATGGTTAATCCCAAAAAGTGATACATCACACAATACATAGGTCCACGTGGTTAGTCACTTGGATGATACAATATACAATACATAGGTCCACGTGGTTAGTCTCTTGGATGATACATTATACAATAAGTAGGTCCACGTGGTTTGTCTCTTGGATGATACATTATACAATAAGTAGGTCCACATGGATTCAACTTAGGGTGATACATCATCCACGTGTCTACCCCCCTTAAGAATGATACATCATACGGTACATATGACCACGTGGCTGTGACCAAAGATGACACATTATACAATAGATCTGATCGTATGGCTCATACCGAGAATAATACATCATACGGTACATATGATCACGTGGCTGTGACCAAAGATGACACATTGTACAATATATATGATCGCATGGCTCGTACCGAGAATAATACATCATACGGTACATATGACCATGTGGCTGTGACCAAAGATGACACATTATACAATAGGTATGATCGCATGGCTAGTACCAAGAATAATACATCATTCGGTACATATGATCACGTGGCTGTGGCTAACGATGATACATTATACAATAGATCTGATCGCATGGCTAGCGCCAAGAATGATACATCACACAAAACGTCTGTCAACGTGGCTAGAAACACAACGTGAAACCTACGTCCAAGGTTATAATGATTAATATGGTCGTATATTTTCTGATAAGTTGTTGAATCACGGCCTTTAGACTTTGTTACGGTAATCCAAAACCTTGCGTATAGCCTAAGCTGTGTATTACACGCCCACACAAAGGAGAAGGTTGTTCTTGGGTCAGAGCCAGGAAAAACGTCAGCTTGTGTGTCTTTGTGAAGGGAGATAGCGACAAGCAAACAGACAGACAGGCAGATGGACGAGCGTGACACGGACAAATTTATCTTCAACATGACTGTTTGCTGAGTGTGCGCAAAAAAAAAAAAAGTATCAGGTTTATATAATACGTTATGGTAATATCTAAAAATCCAGCAAATTTCAATATTTGCCGCGACATCTGCCGTTTGATGTTTTTCGGACAGGTTTAATGAATGGCACCAAAATCTCAGCCCTCACCTCATCTTTTTCTTGAAGATCCATTCCCCCTCATTATTAATATGGCCTTTTTGCTAGCACATTCATAAAATTTCTAAGACCAAAAGCCTAGAAAATTGTAACTTTGCTTTCTATGTCTTAAGAATATCAGTGTTTGTATATTTATGATGTGTTGTAAAACGTTATGAGAAAATACTATCTAACAAGTTTCCGAAATACAAAACCTATCTATCTTAAGGATAGTAGTTTCTCAGAAAAAAAGAAAGAAATTTCCTGCCATTTCAGTTTGATAATGTTAACCTGTATTGACTTTAAGCTACTGGTCTGGTCACTATATTCTGTTGATAATACTGTGAAGAAGAACGAGCTGCACCTTGCAACAAAAAGAGACAAAGTTTTCTTTACCTCGGAATCTTTGTCATCATCTTACTTATTTTATGCAGGGGTTTTTATACTCCAGCTACATTTGTACCCTAAATTAAGTTACTTTATCTGGAACGGCACGTGCTGTTGCACCTGTAGGATGCAGATGTCAGTAAAAGTGTCATATGTCCTTTTGTATAGAGGCTAGCTACCCGTGAAATGCTCAGTGTATTGCGAGAGGCATGAAAGCAGATAATTTGTTGAGTCTTTTTTGTTTTCTGAATTCATGTGGAAGAACGTTTCGTTTCAGCATAGTTTTTTCATTCTTTTAATAATAAATGTTTGAAGTTTAATCATTTTTGGATATAGTTAAACATATTGATGATTTTTGAGTACGGCCTTTATCGTATTTCGTGTATGACAGATCTTCTTTTCTGTGATAAATGTGTAAATCACTTTTAACCGAATAATTTCCGTTCTGACTTAATGTAATTAGTTTTATTTCATTATCTTGACTTACAGTTTGAAGGTAGTTTAGCTCTATTTTGCGAGCTTCGTCGGTACTACAGAGCTACACATTATAACGTATATAGTATCTTATTGTTGTATTTCGTCGATATCACAAGTCATATTTCAGGAATAATGAAAATATTTGTTCTTGTGGTTACAAAGAACTTTAAAAAATATAGATAGTTAATGTTTTATAGGGTTTGAATTATGGTAAAATAAATAAATAATAATTATATTTTATTATTAGGTAGAGAGCTGATTTTTTTTTTTAAGGAAAGAGTTTGAGTACACGAGTCTTGCTACGAGTTTGAAAAGAAAATATGAAATCTATGCAAGTAACAATTCTTTTATGGTATTTTATGAGAGAAAAAGTTATTAAAAAAGAGAAATAAGTATTGGGTTAGAGACTTTTTTTTATCGGGAAGGTTTTCGTGTGAGGGAAAGTTTTTTTTAAAAAGCAGGTATTGTGTGAGATAACGTGTTTTTAAAAAGTGAAATATTTCTTTGAAAGTGAAGAGTTAAAGAGCACGAGAAGGAATTTTTTAAAAGGAAAGTATAGTATGAGATTAAATAAAGGATGATTTAAGATGAATGCTTTGAAAATAGTTTAAAATATATGGTTAGGGTTCTTTAAGGCTAGGAGAGATAGGTTTTTAGACGGATTCATTTTGGTGAACTTACCGTAATTTTATTTGGAAACAGCAAGATCTGTAATATGGAAACGGTTTTGTTTAAAGTCTTACAGTCTTAATACACCTAAAACTGCATTTCGATAAACAAATGTGTTCAACTTTTAGAACCAAACTCTCTTGATGAAAATGTATTTATCAGTCCTGTCGAAGTCCTGATTTTCTTAATAGTTTATTAAATGTCTTAACTTGTGGTTTGTCCTTTGTTTACGCAATATTTTTATTCATATTTTCTGTTACCTAAAGGCGTCGATTAAATACAAAGAGTTCGAACGTGTTTCAAAGTTCTCCTTTGTTAAAACGAAATCCTATAACTACGGTCTTGCCAACCAAGTGTCACTAACTTAAAAATTAAAGAAATATCAATTGTAGTTCACAGTGTTACTGTCCTCGGGTGGGTCAGCGGTAACTTTAAGACTTACGCTTCTAAAGTTCGGGGTTTTCAACTTCCCGTGGTAGACATAGTGCAGATAGCCCATTTTGTAGCTTCGTACTAATAAAACAACAACAACACAATGTTACCATTCGAATATTTAATGTTTACAGTGCTTCAAACGTAAATAAATGGACTTTGATGTCTTCGTAATTGCGGTTATCA